TCGAATTCGAATATCAGTTCGAATCGAATCTGAACATTTATGTGTAGCTTAAATTTGCCAAATTCTTTATTTACTTTACTGATACCTATATGGCATTTTTTCTCTATGATGTTTCGGTTTATTATACAGGTTGTTTCAGAATTAAGTCGACAAACTTTAAGGAGATATTCCTCATAAAAAAATAAGAAAAAAATCAAGTATAAATTTTTTTTCCATAGACGCTTCATTTTCAAAATATAGGTCCTAAAAGATTTTTTAAAAAATTCGAATTTTTTAAATAACTTTTAAATGATTAAGGCTATTTAAGCCAAATTTGGCATGACACATCTTCTGATAAGATACCATTTTTCCATGTAAGTGGAAGTCCCGCAAGGAACCAGTGGCGGAGTTATGGGGACTCAGACTTATAAAAAAAATTAATACGGTCCTACTGAAAATAAAAAATGATGTTTTTAGATAGAACAGTTTGTTATTGACAAAAAGTGTACATTCCCTTTTTTCCTAACTCTTATAGTTTCATGGCAAAATTGATTTTTCGGAAGGGTGCTTCTGGATTCTGTCGATAAACTTTAGGAAGACGTTCCTCATAAAACCTAAAAAAATATAGTACCTATTAAAATTGGTCTTAGTCTCGAGTATGTGTGAGTCAAATAAGCCTTTTTGTCTCCCCTTCCCTTGGGTTTAACCAATAGTATTAAAATTATTTAGGAGATGCTTCGTTTTTGAGATATAGGGTGTTTTTTTTAGAAAAAAAAATGATGTTGATGAAAACAATAGAAATATTTAAGTACCTAACATCTAATGTGACTATGTCGTAATGCGACAACGTAACGACCCTTGCAATACTCCTAAATTTTTTCAGGCGGTTTGTAGTCACTTCATTTACTTGTGTTGTGTACTTTTAAATAAAATAAGATGGCAAACAATACATGAAAATTTATTTGTAAATTGAAACAACCAAAAAATTACCAATTAATATTATACCTAGACAAAGCGAAAAGTGAATCAAAAATGAAATGATTTAAAAAATATTTTGTTCAAAATGGGCGCCTCCGGACTGTAGACAAGCACGACATCTTCTAATTATGGAGGTAGTGGCCGATCGACACTGAATTGGAGTTAATTCTCGACACGCTTGGACTATTCGCTGTCTTAGATCTTCTAGGGTATCAACTGGCACCTCGTAGACTTTTTGTTTAACAGCACCCCAAACGAAATAATCCATCGGTGTCAAGTCCGGTGAACGTGCGGGCCACGCTGCAGGTCCTCCACGACCAATCCATCTCCTGGGATAATTAATGTTTAACCACTCCCTAGGACCTCTACCAAAATGGGCAGGACAACCATCTAGTTGAAACCAACTGTTCATTCGAGTATTAAGCGGAACATCTTCTAACAGATCTTGAAAACCATTTTCAAGGAACTCGGTAAACATGTCAGCATTTAACCGATGCGGAAGGAAGTAGGGACCAACTATAGTGTTGTCCAACATACCCAACCATACGTTACATTGGAATTCATGCTGAAAATTATATTCCCTTACCGCCCGTGGATTCTCGTAGGACCAGATATGGTTGTTCCTTTGGTTTAAAATTTCCCTTCGAGTAAATGTTGCCTCATCTGTCCACATTACTTTTTGCGTAAACTGATCATCATTCTCTGCTTGGTTTAACATCCAGTCACAAAACACGCGCCTGCATCGTATGTCCTGAGGCAATAAATGTTGCACACGCAGGATATAGTACGCAAGTTGTCCATCATGGCCGAAGAGTCCTTCAAATGGAACTTGACGAAATACCTAACTCATAGCTAGATCTTCTGACACTCGTGGATGGATTTTCATAGAAATGGATTAAAATAGTATTCGATCTTACTTCGTCCTGAAGTGGGGCAAAATGTCCGTAAGCATAAATTGGAATACCGAAAGACCCAGTTTGTCTGAGACGATTGAATGTCGTTGAAAATGTTTCCTTTGCTGGTAGTCTGCAATGAGGAAATCTTACTGCATATTCACGGCGAGACGCCGTGGCATTTCGATCACAAAAACCGTATACAAAGACCATAGGATTTTGAAAACTTCAAAGTATCCTTTATAAGATGTTCGTTTGTTGACAAAAAAAATTGATGCAGGAAACTTCATTCATATCCTGAAACTAGAACCTTCAAACTGCTTCATTTTTTTTACTCCGCGACCATTTTCGGCCAAGTTCCAGGCTTGTGAAAATCACCTACAAGTATAGGACTTTTTTATCCTTCAATTTCTGTGACTAGTTTACATTCTGAAGGCCCTGTACATCTGTCCCCAGCGATCATGATTACCTAAGTCACAAAAAGCGGAGCCTCCGCGGCTGCACCATTATTCCGTGCATCTCCCGAGAGATGACATCGTGCAAGCTGCATGAGCAGTTACACGGGCATTTTGACAACGTACTGATTTAATGCCCCATTGTTCCGGTGCAGTGAAGTGGTCAGGGCGTGCGATAACGTCACTTCCTCTATTTCGCACGCCCGAATATGCACATACCGCTCATTGCTATTAATCCACAATTATATCTACAAGGTATGGAACAGATATTCGTCCAAGTTTGTAGTCCAAAACCCGATGTTGTTATGAAAATCTCACTCAATTTTGTAACCAATTGCGCGATCAAAAAAACTGCGGGAGGGGGGGGGGGGTTGAGTTAGAAAAATAGTGGTTGTTACAAATTCTTCTTTTTAAATTTTATTCACAATTTTGGTGCGAAATTTTCTCACCGAAAACCACACATGTTTAATCACGCATATTTTTAGAAAATTATCATTCGACGATTTGACGATAATGTTCAAAATATTCGTGACCTTGAAAATTTTGTTTATATAATTTGAGCACTACCTACTAATCCTTTGCGGATTTATACAGGGTGTCCCAAAAGTATGGAAACAGCACAATAACTTTCGAAAAATGCATTTTGAGGAAAAATGATTCAGACAAAAGATTTAGGATTTTTCCCTGGCTGTTCAATGGCGACCCTAGATTTGACCTTGACCTTGACCTTCAAGGTTATTTCGAGGTCAAGTTAACTTTTTCAAATGGGATGCCCTACTTTTGACCCCGGAAATGAAAAGAGCGGAAAATTTTACGTTCAGATATGTCCTTGACCATTTTCCGAATTTGACCTCTGATGGTCATTAAAGGTCAAATCAAGGTCACGCATGGTTTGGCGCGCTGTCTTGAAAACAACGGGTTGCAAAAAAATGACCATAACTAACGTTGTAGGATTTTTCCCTGGCTATCTGACGNCGAGCAATCAAATCCTCTTTTGAAGCAACGGTTGTAAAATAAACTTTTTGCTTTATTACTCCCCAAACATAAAAATCTAATGGAGTGAGTTCGGGAGACTTCACTGGCCAATTCCACGGTCCTAGGCGTCTCATCCATCTATCTCCAAACATTTCAGTCAGCTGTTGATCGATTTGATTGTGACAGTGAGGTGGAGCCCCGTCTAATTGATACCAACACTTCCTTAGTTGGTCTAAAGGTATATCATCTAGAAAATCTGCCACAACCGTTTGCAAAATATTGAGATATCTGTCGACATTTAAATTTTTATTCGTAGATATGGTAAGAAATTTGGTTATCTTTAATTAGACAAAAAACATTTACGCTAAAATTTTGAAGGTTTCTTTCCCGGATAACATGAGGATTTTGAGATGACCACAAATGAGTATTATGTCTATTAAAAATACCTTCTCTCCTAAATTGTGACTCGTATGTCCATATAATATGTTGCAAACTTGCAAAAATTGTGGATTTTCTTGGTGTCGCACTAATCTCGTTTCACAAAATTGTACACGTTGCTCGGCGTCACCCGGATAAAGAGCAGAAAGTAGCTTAAATTTGTATGGATGCATATCATTACTTCTTAGCATCCTGTGAATGCACGCTCGTGAAATCATACTCTGTGGCACGAGTTGAGGATTCTGAATGAACATTAAAATAGTCATTACATATATAATATATTACTTGCTAAAATATATTAAATCATTTTAAATTGACAGTGGTGATGATATTCTGGTGTTTGAAACACTATCAGAGTTAGTACCAGCTGCAAAATATGTTACTTCAAATGTATTACCGAACGAATCTGGAGAAAAGTACGAATTCATATTCCGAGATGTTTTGTTATTTCAAGTTCAGACCAAGAACAAGAAGAAGATATACCGCAAATACTGTGTTTGCATCCGGCAGTTACTACAAATTGAAGATTTTTTGTGCACTGTATACAGGGCACTGCTTTAGACTTTCTTCAGCCACTCTGTTAGCCGATGCAGGGGCCGATATTACCACCATTAAACAACATGGAGGGTGGCGTTCTAGTACGGTAGCGGAAACATATATAGAAAATTACATACGAATTAAAATTTCAATCGCAAATAAATTCGTTACCATCTTCAAAAGAGCCCACGGAACTTGCCAATAATACAAAGTGCGCACTAAACTTAAATAATTACAGCAGCAGCCTCATTGAACACCCACAACTAAAAGTTACGATGACTGACAGCATCTTGCATAAATTTAACTCACTGCAATATCGGCACTTTCAATTTACATGTAGTGCAAAATAAATTGTAATTTTATTGAAATGTATTACTTAAAATTTATGTACAGGGTCGGAAAGTCCTCATGGTTCATCGGCAGTTACGTGAGAGCGATAAAGAAAGTCATAGAAATCCGTGCGATAGAGAAAGATGGCTATAATGAAGGCGTCTAATAGTCACCGCCCATTTCGCCCTTCCACAAATAAGATCCACTTCTTAGTTCTAGGTATTTTGCTGCTAGGTGACAAAGAATACTCATTTTGTCATCTGAAAGTTTAACGAAATTGTTGATGATAGTTTTCGAAAAAAATATTGTATGCAAATAATCGATTATTTTACTGTCGTGTACGCGCAAAAGTACCGACTTTGACTTATTTATCGACCAGCAACTTAACTGCTAACTTAATTTTTTCGCGTTTCAGATTTGTCAGGAGACAAAGGCGGCGGCGTCAGAGTGGCAGGTCGGCTAATGGTTGCGTAGGACTCTATAAGAGGATTCACTTGTGCAACAGTCAGGTAAGGAGATTTATCCTTGTTTGCCGCCGTCTTGATTGCCTTGTATATTGTTTTACATGATATAAATTAGATAATCTGAGCACCGCGCCATACAGGGAGGTGGTAATTTATTGGGACATTGTGCATTGTACTGCTCATTAATCTGTTGTGCAGATAAATCGACGCCAGATAATTCCTTTGGAAAAAATCACTTAAATTAAAAAACATGGCAACGTTGCAATAATATTCATGAAATTTGTGAACGTTTCCATTCATAAACCAATATTCACTAGAATTTGCGAGAGAACAGAACTTGTTCTAGTCTATTCACCGTTTTAGTGTTATTAGTAAAATTTTACTATTTTTTTTTTAAATTCTACAATATTGACACTTTACTATGGTTTCTGGTTTGTTGTTGTTATAATTGTGTTTAATCTAAAATTTGGTGGTCTTAAATTTGGTCAATAAATTGATCAATTTATTACAACGTGTAATTCACATATTTAGGAGAATAACTACGTCGAATTACCACCGGGTCATAAAACAAATGACTGTACGTGTGAATAATTTATTTCTATTCTAATCACCCCGATCGGACCTCTCCTGCGCCCAGCGGTCGCTACCGAAGATTTGTTGCACTTTGAAAGCATTACACTACCAATTTCTTAAAAATGTCCAATATTACAAGATGTCTTACATTTTGCTCGAAATTATTATTGAAAATATTGAAACATTAAGAATCTTTACAAAATTGAAATTTCTACACCAACGATTTTTTTTTAATTTTTTGACATAGTATGTTGCTCATTTTAAAATAAAAGAATCAGATCTACAAAACCGTTCGTTATTCAAGCACAAGGATGTAATGTTAATAAAACTCTAATTTTCGCATAATTCCATTATGTTTAGACAATCCGTATTATTCCAAAATTTTCTGTCAAAATCCTTCGTAATGCAATGAATGAGCAAGCATTGAACTAGTTCCAAGCTTAAATTTTATGAAACATTTGGTACAAATCAAGAATATTTAGGTTACAATCAAATTTTGTATAAATAGAAGTGGTCTACAAACACTTCTGTGTCCTCAAAATAAATCAGTTATGGCGATATTATAATAATATTTATTCGACGTGAAATATGCAAATGTAACATCATTGTTTTATTTCAGGAGTGCCCCAGTGGTCGAGATTTCCGTTACGAACAATGCGCTGCCTTCAATCATCGACGCTTTAAGGGCAGAAGATACGACTGGGAGCCGTTTCTCAAAGGTTTGTCGAAGGCCCTTTGTTATATCGTTGGAAAAATAGGAATATTTATAGGAATAGAATTCGTTCAATAAAGTGTACAATTTTTTGCACTGGGTGAATATTCTGCATTAGTGTAGACTTTCTGAAATAGTGTGAATGATATTTTGCACTAATGTGAATATTTTCCACTAGGGCAAATGAATACATTGCACTAATTTGAATATTTTGCACTGATGTGAATATCTCGCACTAGTGTGGAAATTTTACACAGGTGTGAACGAATACTTTACACTATTGCGAATACTTTGCACCAGTATGCACACTTTGCACTAATGTGAATGAATAATTTGCATTATTGCGAATATTTTGCAATAACATGCACATTTCGCATTGGTATGAATGAATACTTTGCTGAAATATGAGTAATTTGAACTAGTGGTAACATTTTGCATTTAGTGTGAATGCATATTTTGCACTAATGTGAACATTTTGCACTAATGTGAATATTTTGTACTGATATGAATATCTTGCATTAATGTTAATATTTTACACTAGTGTGAATGAATACTTCTACTACTTTGCACTATTGCGAATATTTGCCACTAGTTTGCACATTTTGCAGTGGTGTGCATTAATGTCTTGCAGTAATAAGAGGATAATTTACACTAGTGTCAACATTTCGCATTATTGTGAATGAACATTTTGCATTAATGTAAACATTTTGCAATAATGTGAATATTTTGTACTGATGTGAACATTTTGAACTAGTATTAACATTAAGCACTAGTGTGAATGAATACTTTTGTACTATTGTTAATATGGCGAATAGTGTGAATGAATATTTTGCACTAATTAACAGGAATATTTTCCACTAGTGCAAATGAACACCTTATACTAATGCGAATATTATGCACTGATCTGAATATCTCGCACTAGAGTGGATATTTCACACTGATGTGAATGAATACTTTACACTATTGCGAATACTTTGCACTAGTATGCGCACTTTTTATTAATGTGAATGAATACTTTGGATTTTTGCGAATATTTTGCAGTATCATGCACATTTTGCATTATGAATGAATACTTTGCACGAATATGTGTAATTTGCACTAGTGTCAACATTTCGCAATAGTTTGGATGAACATTTTGCACGAATGTGAACATTTTGCACTAGTATGGATAGCAATTGTTTTAACGTTTTGTGCAAGTGTAAAAAAGTGTATTTCTCTTCACATTTGTGTTAAAAGTAGTTTGCTATCAAGTTGAAGTCAAATTTACATCTAAACGCGCACGGTTTACTAAAACTATAAAAAATTATTTGAATAATTAAAATGTTTTTGAGAGTAATCCTGAGTGATTTCGACACTTCCTTATTCATTACAAGCTTAAGAGATACAAAAGCGCATTATAAATATGCAAAACCACTTAATCTTATTAGTTCATCTTAATCACTTATAAGTTCCATTCAGATCTAAGCGGTCTCCTATTCAACGACGCGATATGGTCCCGAAAAAAATTATAATGATGACGGATGGACCTCCTTCAGCAAGGCCTTTTATTTTAAACCTAATCGAATATCAAGCTGGCTAATATTTATTTATAGAGCAGTAAACATAAAATTGCGCGTTCTTTAGATATTTTGTTGCGTATTTCGAGAAATTTTAGGTGCGATTGTCTCGGAAAGTGTCAGAAGTGTAGTCCCAAACAGTATTTTAATAAAGTATCACAATTAATTCCAATTTCGTCATAATAAATACTACTTAATTGTTTTAAAAAAGCCTGTTTTACTTATAAGGCTTTTGCTTCATAAAAAATATATTTCGTGGGTTTTGATTACAGGCTGAAGATTTTTAAAAACATATAACTTTGATTATTTATTTATTGTATAAACTACATATAAGACACGTAAATATGTTAATTGGGAATATTATTTACAATTTATCTGTCTGAGGGAAATATTGAGCATTAAAATTTGATACTTTGTACATATGGTCTTCCTAAATGAAGATTTCGTTAATATCAAAAGAGTATATAATTAAACGCTAATAAGTGGGTATATAATTTTTGATTAATTATAAAAACGGGTTTGTATTGGTAATTAGCAATATTTACTGATTAAAAATATAAATGTAAACTAAACGAGTATATTTAAGGTACTATTTGTGTTGACGCCAGCTATCTAGGCAACCTGAAATACTTCCATGTGTATGTTGTGTGGTGCATGCATTAGAATCAAATGGATTGCAGGAATATTTTGTTTGCTGCCTTGACACCGTGTATTATCAACAGTTTTTATCGTAGCACGAAAATCACTTGTTCCAGGGATTAATTTGAATTATTCACTTACAGGCTATTGATTATATAAAAAAACAGGGTTAAAAGGAACTATGATGTTCAAGCAATTTTATTGCATGAATCGTTCAAAGGGTCTCTTAGATAAAAAACTGAGGAGTGTTACTAAATTAGAGGGTGGAAATTGGAAATGGTGGTGAAAATGCACTTTTACAGTTTTTTAATTGTAGCTCGAAAACGAAGCAATATTTCGCTATAGGTAGTTCATAGGAAAAATTTTGTAGAGAATTGATTCGAAATGGCTTATTTAAAAAATTTAAAAGGAAAATTTTATGCAAAAAATTGTTAATAAACAATTTGAAAAAAACAAAAAATTCGAATTTCTTATTTTTTTTACTCTTTTGACCCAATTTTTTTTTGTAGGCAAAGAAAATTCCTGTACAAAAAAACTAGATGAGATTCCCTTCAAAATGATGTTCAAATGTTTTTGGACTAATATTGACTGAGTTATAACCGGTTGAACTTAAATATTTTATAGATTTTCGTCGTTTTTAACATAAATTAGAGTCAAAACAGTAAAAAAAGCAAAAAATTTGATTTTTGCTTATTGACGATTTTTTCAATGAAGTTTTTCTTTTAAATTTTTTAAATAAGCAACGTTGATGAGAAATTCGATTCTCTACAAAATTTTTCCTATGAACTATACCGAAATTTTGCTTCGTTTTCGTGCTATATTTAAAAAATTGGAAAAGTGCATTTTCACCCCTATCTTCAATTTCAACCCTCTAATTTAATAGCACCCCGCGGTATTTTCATTTTTAATGACCCTTCGAACAAGTCATGTGATGAAAATCCTTGAACGAATCCATCCTTTTTTGCAAAACGGGACGAAAAATCGAAAAATTTGAAAAAGTTTGAGCGGCCATACTCATATATCAGTCAATTCTCATCCAAAAATACTCTACAACCTCTTTTTTTGAAGGAAATTTTATATACTTTTTCCTTTATGAAGCAATGCCTATATCTATCTTTACTCAAAAAAAAACTAGAGGCAAAAAAGTAAAAAAAATGTGTGCTTTTTTTCAAATTGTTTATTAGCGATTTTTTGTATGATTTTTTTTTTAATTTTCTAAATACGCCATTTCGATGAGAAATTCAATTCTCTAAATAATTTTTCCTATGAATTATAGCGAAATTTTGCTTCGTTTTCGAGCTATAATTAAAAAACTGAAAGGGGTGCATTTTCACCCCTATCTTCAATTTCCACCCTCTAATTTAATAGCACTCCGCGGTTTTTTCATCTAAAATGACCATTTGAATGTTTCATGTAATAAAATATTGAACGTCATCATCGTTCCTTTTAAAATCCTTTAATCAATAGTTCTGTTGTATAACCTGTTATGACTTTTTTTATTACTTTGAAACTTATGTGATTTCCTACGAAATTGGAGAATTTGGAGAAAGATTAGATACATCTTCTCCACACTGTTTCAATTCTTCTTATTCCTAAAAATCAGTGTGTTTTTTTGCTAAAATTAGAGATGAAGGAGACATTTACTTTGTCGGAATTTTATACCATCCCGGCGCCTCCGCCAAATTATTCAATAATGAAATAGATTTTTTTTATTGCAGTAAAAGACGAGTGTGCACTGAACTGCAGGGCGGTGGGCATGAACTTTTTCGCGACCCTCAACAAGACCGTTATCGACGGAACACCCTGTCTACATCCCGTCACTTCCACCGGAAAAGCAGCCCCGAAAGGCACTAGGGGCATCTGCATCGAAGGCTACTGCAAGGTAAGTGTAAAAATAAAAATTATTTATCATATTTAAACTTAAAGTTGACGAATATAAAAAAAAACAGTATTATTCGTATTTTTATCATATTTTAGATCCCAGAAATTTAGGTGTGTAAAGATATCTAAATTTTAATTTAATTCTTGAATATTTTGTGAAATTCGAGAGCTGCTTTTGGTAGATATATGGTCAAATTTCCAAATTCACCAATTGCTTGGCCACCGCGTTATCCTGATCTTAATCCCTGCGATTTTTACGTTTGGTGTCACCTCAATCAAAAAGGCACCTGGCAATAAATCAAAATGCCATTTAAATACAAAGCTAAGTTAGGTTTTAAGCTTTAAAAATCAACTTTCTAAACACTTTTTTGTTAATAACTTTCGGAGAGACAAAAGGTAAAGTTATGCATTTTTCCCTTGACTGGAAAAATAATTAGAATTTTGCAAAAACTATTAGGCCCACAGCGCCCATCTTTCCCACAGTTTTGAAGAACAATAAAACACAACTTTTAGGCATATTTATAAAATTCCAACAAATAACAACCAAGGTATGGATAATTAAAAAAATGCTGTTAGTCCACGTTTTCTTGATGTTTTTTTGCAATAACTTTTAAACAATGTATCCGACTTGAATCTATCAGGCGGGATTTTGTAGGTCTTTCTGTTGGGCATATTTCGTCTGTTGAGCATTTTTTTTAAAAATCAATATATTGGAAAAACTGATTTTACGACCCAAATTGTTTAAAAAAACTATGTTGCTAATTTACTCACGAGATGAGGCACCTTTTCCATTACTTTCCCCTGCACATTTCAACAATAAAATAGCGCACGTCAATTCATCGCTTTTTTAGTCAATTTACTGCTATAGCGACGCCTCTAATATAACGAGCGTTCAAATAAAAACGTGGTCGAAGTTGGCTCTGACACATTGCGTAGGGAGTAGCTTATAGCGACCAACTTAACCTCATTTCTCAACGAGCTGTATAGCAGCTGTCAGTTTCAATAACGTTAATGACTATATAACTTTGTTTTAAAGAATAATCGTGATAACAATAACAAACAATTAAAGGAGCTGCGGAAAGTGTCCCCCTCCTTGTTATAACAATAAATTAAAGCAGCTGCTGAAAGTGTCCCCCTCCTTGTTCCAAGCACTTTTCACACCTGTTCCTCAAAGAATTAAAGACATTTTCTAAGTGGCTCGGGGTATTGTTAATTTCACGAATATTGTCTATAAGTCGAGCCTGCAGATGGGTTAAATCAGGAATAGGCAGTTCAAAAATAGTGTTTTTAAGGTAAGGCTACAAAAAGAAATCACACGGCGTAATATCACATGACCTCGGTGGAAATTCATGTTCAGCATTGAGACTTATTAGTCGATTCATCGTCTCGCCTGCCGTATGTGCCCTTGCGCCATCTTGTTGAAAGTAAAAGTTTGTAATTTCGTTTTCTTCCAGCTGGTTAACAAAAGGAGCGATAATTTCTTCTCTATACCTTTGCGCAGTAAGAGTACCATTAAAAAAAATAGGTCCATAAATCCTCCTTCGATTGAGAGCACACCAAACTCCAATTTTTTGAGCGTGTAGAGGGCCTTCGACAAAAAAGTTATCTGGTTTTTCAGAAGACCACATTCTCATATTATGTGAGTTTACGTAACCACTTAAATGAAACCAGGTTTCATCAGAAAAAAAGGTGATATTATGAAGTTCACCGTAGTTGTTTAAAAACCATTCACAAAATACAGCCCGTCGCGGAAAATCAACTTCATGAAGTTCTTGCTGACAAGTTAAACGATAGGAGAACAAACGCAAATCTTTTTTATCACTGTGTGGCAGGTACCGACTGATACTCCCACCATTTGTGATAAAACACGTACAGAAGTTCTTGGCGCAATTTCCATTATTTGTTGGACATTTTCTTTTAATTCTTCAGTCCGCTTTTTAGGTCGGCCGCTTCCTTCTTTTCTTGTTACACTGCCCGTTTCACGAAAAACAATAACACAACGCTGAACTGCACTTTGAAAAATTTTGTACTCAACAACGCCGGGAAATTGATTTTGAAATTCTATGAAACATTCCTCAATAGAATACTTCCATATTCCATCAATCTTGCGTCCATTTCTAAAGAAGGACTCGATGATAAACACTTTTTGTTCTTGAGAAAACACCATTTTAAACGCTTTTTAAAACGAAAATATTCAAATTGATAGCGGCGATATAGCGCTTTGACAGATGACGTTAAAGTTCATTTGCCATACGCTACGCCCTACGTCCAAATTTTCAGAACCAACTTGACCACGTTTTTATTTGAACGCTCGTTAGTTACAGCAAAGTCAAGATGTGGACCAATATATGTACTATAAATCTTGAGAAAAGTAACTGTTATATTATTATGGAAAGATCTGCGAATCAAGTAAATTCACTGGTTACATTTTCTTACAATTTTGGGGACTGTGACACAGTATTTAAGATGTAACCTTATGACCTTCACTTGTGTAATTTGATTTAAGTTTGTTATTAAGAGGTAGTAACCATTTCAAGCACCAATGACTTCAAGACTATAAACTAGAAATAAGAAAGGACCCACCAATGAACCCGGGGGTACACAACTTAAAACATCCCATTTCTGACAGTGACAGTCATCAATCTGCACTGTAAATTGTCTGTTGCTAAGAAAATATTCTATCCCTGATGATTTTAAGTGCAGATACACTCTTAAACAAATATAATTCACTTAAGATACCTACCGATATATAGCTCCATTTTCAAAATAATAACTAATATAATTGCTAAGACTACAAAGAGTACCTACATTGTATCACGTCGCGGTAAGTACATATTAATTATTAAAGAGCTAGTTACAGCCGGTTAACATTATGTCGACAGGATCAGATAACGCTGAATATTATTTCAATAAACCGGGATGGATGTTAACGAGAATAGTTATAAGGAAACCAACATGTAATTTATGCATTTATAATATGCCGTTTATAGAAAATTAAGCGGCATAACGTAGAACGTTTTGATAGGATTTATAATGGCGCGGTTTGTTTATTATCGTCTGATTAATTGGCCGAGATTAGTGAAATAATAAATATTCCAGAAGTACGTACTATACCTATTAAATGTGAAATTAATCATTTGGGACTATTTATAGCTCTGTTGCTATATTTAACGCACTTGTAGTCGGTGGTGAACATGGATTGCATATGCAAGGTCAGGCGGAGATTCAAGGAACAAGTGGAATTCTGATTTGGATCCAGCATAGTAGTCTTTATAGATATCTGTTCGTACTGTAAAGATTCGCGCAATAGAACTATTTTTCTAGAAACTTTAACAAATACACAAACGCTCCTATGAATCTGATAATTGTTTCTGGCAAGGTCCGTTGATTAAATCCAGGTGAATTGCAGATGTATGTTTGTTGAAGACACGGGGTGACATAGGGATTGGTTTCCATCGAAATAAGAGACAGGTGACGTGACACTATTTATTCAGAGTTCGAACACACACTAAGGTAGAAGAACGGTTGTACAAGTTTTAAAAGTCGAATATGTTTTTATGTATCTTTGTATTAGATAAATATCTAACTTAGAAAACACATTGTGAAAATGTAATTCCCAAAATAAATACCATTGTTTCAGTTTAAAAATATCAGAAACAAAAAAAAAATAGTGTGTGCTTATACAGTACGCGCCTAAAGTATGGAATAAATTCAGTAAAAATGAAACAATTTTTTTGGGAAAAATCCACGAACAGGTCGATTTTTAATTTAAAAAATACATAATTTAGCAAAAAAGGCGATTTCCAACCGTCATTTGTTTTCGAGTAATGACGTCATAGACATTTTTTTAAATAACAACCCTCTATTTTTTTCTTGATTCTGAAAGATCGTTTCATTTTCGATCCGACAGTATTAAAATGTTGCCATCTTACATAGGAAAGTTTTCGAGTAAATGACGATTGAATGTTAGAAAACCTAAATCAATTAAAATAAAGCAAAAACGTTATCAAATTTAGTTTTTCGAAATGCCTGGAAGTTTTTTCTGGATCACGTAGGTGTAAATCTTTACAAAGTGTCACTGTCATACCGACTTTCTAAGTATTGTAAGCGATATAAAAATTATTGTTGAATTTAAAGTATTATGGCACATTTAACTGNCTATTTTTCTAGAAACTTTAACAAATACACAAACGCTCCTATGAATCTGATAATTGTTTCTGGCAAGGTCCGTTGATTAAATCCAGGTGAATTGCAGATGTATGTTTGTTGAAGACACGGGGTGACATAGGGATTGGTTTCCATCGAAATAAGAGACAGGTGACATGACACTATCTATTGCAAGTTCGAACACACACTAAGGTAGAGGAACAGTTGTACAAGTTTTAAAAGTCGAATATGTTTTTAGTTACATTTGTATTAGATAAATATCTAACTTAGAAAACACATTGTGAAAATGTAATTCCCAAAATAAATACCATTATGTTTCAGTTTAAAAATATCAGAAACAAAATAAAATAATAATGTTTGCTTATACAGTACGCGTCTAAAGTATGGAATAAATTCAGTAAAAACGTAATAAATTTTTTTATTTACATAATTTAGCAAAAAGGGCGATTTCCAACCGTCATTTGTTTTCGAGTAATGACGTCATCGACATTTTTTTTAAATAGCAACCCCCTATTTTTTTTCTTGATCCTGAAAGATCGTTTCATTGTCGATCCGACAGTATTAAAATGTTGCCATCTTACATGGGAAAGTTTTCGAGTAAATGACGATTGAATGTTAGAAAACCCAAATCAATTAAAATAAAGCAAAAACGTTTATCAGATTTAGTTTTTCGAAATGCCTGAAGTTTTTTCTGGATCACGTAGGTGTAAATCTTTACAAAGTGTCACTGTCGTATCGACTTTCTAAGTATTGTAAGCGATATAAAATTATTGTTGAATTTAAAGTATTATGGCACATTTAACTGTCACACAAAGAATTGAGATTTCAATCCTT